TAGGTCAAGTTTAAAGGACATATTCAAGGTCAAAGTAACAATGAAGACCACTAAACCAAATAACAGAGGTAATAGTACATCTGCTGTGTTATCAAAACAAAGTTTATCAAGGAAGGTGGTTTAGTATGATGACGAATTGCTTTTGAATGCATAAAGGTGGTCTAAACTTTCTAATTGCTAGGGCTTCCTCAAACTTTAGGATACGCCCCAAACACGTTTTACAGATAGGTTTAAAAGATCTGTTAACGTCAATTTTATGTCCTGTCTCTATAATATGTTTCGCAATAGAAGAGCTAGGTCTCCTGTTCTCACCGTTGATAGGTTCTGAACATTCCATTTGTTTCTGGAGCCACTTAGGAATATGCCCTGAAGCCAGCCCTTACTTTCAGAGATCGATGAGTCCTCCCTATTTATGTGTGTCCACACGTCCATTAAAATTGATAAATACAGTGGGATGTGACTTCATTTTTCGCATGTTCAAAAGGCTTAGATAGATATATTGGCTTCACATTCTCAATTACTATGATATTAGCTGCATAGAAAGTCTTTTTAACAGCAGCGTTCAGTCTTTGTCTAGTTATCAAGTTGATGATGATACCCCATATAGGGCAGCTTGATGTACACGTCTTTCTTAGGGGCGAGTTGTAGAGTGGGTCTTGGTGTTCCGACTGCTTTATATCTCCTGATGAACTTGTCTGGATAATTGTTATCAACCAGAGTTTGTGTCAACTTTCTTTCTTCTTCATCAAGTGTGTCTTCAGTGCATATTCGTGGGATTCTACTGAAGAGGCACCTCACTCACTAAGGCTCTTTTGTACCGAACAGGGCAAAAGCTGTAGTAATTAAGATATTGTCCTGTCCAGGTAGGTTTTCTATGAATAGATCTTTTTATTGACCCATCAAGCCGTCGACTAAGCAATATGTCTAGGAAAGATAAACAATTATCTTCTTCTTATACAGATGTCAGTGATATGCTATTCTGAACTTCATTTATTCGATTTAAAATCGAGGCGGTAGAACAAGACTTATCACTGATGATTACAATATCATCTACATACCTTCTATAAAGTGGCACATTTTCGATTAAATCCTCCGATAAATTCTCAATGTACGACATATAAATATCTGCTAAAAGGGGCCCTAACGGACTTCCCATAGCAACACCGTCAACTTGGCGGAAACAATCGCCTTCAAATGAAAACCTATTTTAACAAAAGTAGACCTTGGCGGCCTGTTTGAATTTTTGGGCCTGCTATCATAAAATCTACATATTGCATCCAACCTACCATTTACTCCATTTACTTATCACCCAAATATGAATTCCAAAAGGATTATTTACTCTCGCAACTTTATCATTCATTTACGACCCAATGACTTTCATATTCCCAAGAAATCAAGGAGGAAGCATCGTAGTGGCTGGCAAAAAGCTCTTAAACGTACACCAATACACTTAACCACGGTCCCTGTCATAATGAACACCAACTGCCGCTCTCTGCCTAACAAAATAATGTACCTACAATCCTTGATGTCCACTGACACTTATCACAATACTGCGATAATCACATTACAAGAAACATGGTTACACGAACTGTACGATGACAATCTCATCTCTCTAAAGGACTTCATCCTATTTAGACAAGACCGAAAATGTTGTAATAAGAAAAGTGGGGGTGGAGTTGCAACTTTCATTAACTCAAAATGGTCTATTTCTAATAATGTTTGCTTCTCATTCTCAAATGACTTCATAGACTGCATCACCGTCAAATGTCGTCCCAAACATCTCCCCAAATATAAACACATCTTTATCACAAACATGTACATTTCTCCAAGTTGCTCACTATCTAATCTTTCAAATTTTGCTGATGAATTCACCATGTTTTCTGCTGCCAACTTCGATAATTCTCTATCTGTTATTACTGGGGACTTCAACTCGTCAGATTGCTCCTTCCTTGAAGCACTTGGTCACTCTAACATTGTCAAATTTCCCACTCGACTAGACAAAACACTGGATTTAGTTTTTACAAATGACGAAGGAATCTATGAAGCACGTAAACGTGCACCGATCCTCAACTCTGATCACTCTATTGTTCGTGTTCTACCAAAAATTTACAGCAAAACACATATTAAAGTCTTCTCGCATCTGTCTATGAAAGCACAACAAAGATGCTACTCATCCGAAAACTTACTCAATCTAAGGTGCATGTTAAAAGACACTAACTGGGATTTATTCCATGAAAGTTCATTAGATGACACAATCGTCAATATAACGGATTATCTCAAGTTTTGCCTTGATATATGCTGTCCCAAACAAACTCTATTCAAACGTCTCGACCGCTTCTCATCTCCTTATCTCAAACAACTTCGCAGGAAAAAAGAAACTTTATACAAATCCAAAGACAAGTTAGGACTCAAAAAGATTAATGCTCAAATCAAATCTGAGATCAAAAATCTTAATGCTATCTATAATGATACACTTTTATCATGTAAATCTCCAATCAGTATGTGGAAACTTTTTAATGAAATTACTGGTAATAGTAAGCGTTGTAATACTTTTCCCTCTTATGATGTTAATGCTCTTAATCAGTCTTTTATACGCTGTCCTTCTACCTTAACTACTTCTAATGTTACCTATCATGTAGCTGAAAACTTTCATGACTTTAATACTCTCGATGTTCTAAAATGTCTTAAAACACTCAAGCCCTCACGTAGCCTAGGTCCTGATGGTATACCTGCCTATGTTCTAAAACAATGTGCAGATGTGTTGTGTTCTCCACTAACCAACATCCTAAATGCCTCTTTCTCCAAAAATATCGTACCTGATGCATGGAAAGACATCAAAATTGTCCCTGTCCCCAAACCTGGAAACGGCAAGAACGTAAAGTTCAGACCCATTGCCATCACTTCCCCGTTCCTAAAGCTTATGGAAAAACTAATACTTCTTAAACTCGAACCCTCCCTTAAAAACTTCGAAGACCCAAAACAATTTGCCTATAGACAGGGTAGGAGTACATTAGACGCTGCAGCTGTCTTACACAACAACATCGTCTCATCATTAGATAAAGGTGCCAAATACGTCCGCTGCACGTTTCTTGACTTCACTTCTGCTTTCGACTCTGTTCCTAGATGTCTCCTGCTAAATAAGCTCTCTTTGACGAAAACTGAGTCCTGGGTCACCAACTGGTTGCATTCCTACTTCTCAAACAGAATGCAGTACACCGTATACAAAGGTAAATCATCCTCTGCTGCACTCACTGAAGCCGGAGTCCCCCAAGGCGCTGTACTCTCCCCACTTCTCTTTTCTTTCTTTCTACATGACTTACCATCTTCAAATGACATTAATTTTGTCAAATATGCTGACGATCTGTCTGTATCTTTGCCTGTCAAATGTCAAAGCGACTGCTCTAAACTTAATGGCTTTCTGTCAGAAATCAGCCAGTGGTCCAAGGAAAATGGTCTTACCCTAAACCCCTCCAAATGCCAAACAGTCAATTTCACCTTTAGGCATAAATCCGACCTAAACAAACTGTTTGGCTCTCATGAGGTATGCAACATAGACGGCACTGAAATAGAAACTAAATCGGAAATTAAATACCTAGGCGTCATTCTATCTGCTGATCTCTCCTGGTCGTCTCATATCTTAGCAATTTCTAAGAAAATATTCCGTCTTACCTTCTACATTAAGAAGTTAAAACATTCTGGTATTACCCAACCCTTACTCCTACAATTCGTTAATTCTCGCATCCTGCCTATTATTCTCTATTGTTCCCCCTTAGTTTTTCCCGGGCTACTGAAGAAAGACTATAACATATTACGCAGGATGTTAAAGGTTGTCAGCAGGGTAAGCAACGTGCCACTTAACCAGCTTGTTAATATTTTGGTTGACAGGCACATGGACTCATGTGAAAAATGGGCCAAATCCATTTTATCTAACTCACACCACCCTCTTCACTCACAACTCTCCCCTTGCATCTCATCAGGTAAAACCAGAAGCCAATATAGAAAACTATATGCTCGCACCAGCAAGTACAAAAACTCAACCATACCCTACTTAGCTCGTGTTCTGTGTGATAAAGAAAGCATTAGGCGTGACACCTATAATTCATTAAATAGTCATTAGTACAACTGGATCTCATCTTTCCAACCCACTTCATCAATAGGTACAACATTTTCTTTCTTTCTGTTCCTTTTCTCTCTCTTCTTTTTCCGTTATGTGCTGCTTTGTCTCTTTCTCTCGCTTACGCCAGTTAATAAGACAGCTCCCACTTTTCTAACACCTTCAAACACTGTTTCAGCTTTACCTTTGCTACTGACATGCCAATGTATTGTTGTAATAATGAACTGTGGTTTCCTCAATCTATGTAGAATTCTATTTATTGATAATGTACTAACTGGATGCAATACTGTAGTAAAAATGCTGAGAATTCCATTCTGTATCACAAGTACTGTTTTGGAATAAAGCAAATTATTATTATTATTATTATTATAACCTAACATTGTTAGTATATAGAAGTAATAAATCCCTTAAATAAGATATAGGGAACGGGATGATCAGATTTTTCGAAATGTGTTGCGCAAATACATTACACGATTCAGACAAATTACGTCTTCTTATTGCTTCATCTAAAAGTCTTTCTGTTTCTCAATTTAATAAATAATTATTTCGTATAGGGAATAGGCCTACCATAGAGAGTGCTTTCAGACGTCTTGCCTACATATCCGAAAATGTCTGAAATGAATTAAAAACTAAGCAAAACAACTAGAGTCTTAAATTTCACCCGGTGCAGATTACAAGTCTGTTAATAAGCCTCTCAGGACACTGCCTTAACACTTACCATACTGCAGGTTTTCTTTTTATTACGTCACTGTTAAGTTTTCATAAGAACGCACTAATCTTAGAAGCTCCCGATTATACTCAGATAGTATTTTAGCACATACAATATAACTCCTTAACAATATTATTTTGGTCAAGAGGAAGAAAGTTAAGAAGAGTATTATTGTACGTCATATTTTTTTTCATTCTTTTATATTATTATTAGCAATAGTAGTATGATAAAAGCATAGATGTACAAGAATAAATTATGTATTATACAAGATTGTCTTATGAGGATACAATAAAGTTGCTTGTTGAACAATGCAATACACGATTGTCTAGTAGTCACACGGACACACACACACGCACACACAGGCACACACACACACGCATACACACACGCATATACATACACTAAGTGACACAAAGACATACAGATAGCTTGTTCTTTTTACTCAAAGAATAGTCTTCATTCACAGACAACAATGATGATAATATATGTTGATGACATCTCATTGTGACAACAGTAGTAGTAATAATAATAATAATAAATATAGAAGTAATGATGGTGAGTGTAAGCACTGAATACCACCACTACCACTATCACTACTACTAATAATATTAGTAGTATTGGTAGTAGTTATTAGCAATTATGATTAACATTTACAAACTAGCCTTATTCCCTTCAAACATTTTTATCGAGAAAGGACTTTAAACGCACGCACGCACGCACACACACACACACACACGAAAAAGCATTATGGCTATTTATTTCCCTTTGCAGGAGTAATACTACTAAAATCATTAATAGTAATAGTAGTTAGTAAGTAATATATAACAAAGAGTGGATGAATTCAAACAAACAATATAATGAAGACAAGAGTCAACCAAATGAGAGAGAGAGAGGGAGTGATGAAAGACAAGTGAAAATGTTTGTTTAGTAGAGTAAGTAGTTGGACAAATGAATCACTTGTAAAATGAAACTGACGTGTACAAAAAAAAACCCTTGGTGAGTACGTGTGTGTGTGTGCGGACGCGCGCGCGCTTCGATTTAATGTATTCACTTTAAACAAAATTTCAATCATTGAATAATTTGAAAAAGGAAATGAGGGAAACAAACAAAAATAGAATGAATGATGTATATATATATGTATATATGTGTGTATGTATGTATGTGTTAATGAATATTTATTCTTTTCTATCCAGTACTCAACTGTGAACATTCAGTTACAGTTTCTTCTATGGGTAATTTACGTTTCATTTTACGTTGACACCAACAATCCTCTCCGGTTAATTGAAATGAATAAGCTGAACTTGGTAAGGCATCTAATCGATTAGCCATTGGATAAAGTAGAAGTGGATAAACAATTAAACCGAATACTACAGATAATCCAACTTCTAAATAGAAACCGTCTAATTGTGTAACACATGTCCCATTAATAGCTTCACAAGCCTAAAATAGATAGGGAAATATAAAAAAAATTTTTTTTAAATGTGAGTTGACAAAATGGATACATTATCAAATGTTGGTTTGAAGGCAAATGATTGGTTACAGGTTTTTTATTATGAGTAGGTATCAGTTAGAGAACCATTGGAAAACTTGAGAAGTTACATGGATTTCTAGTGAGAAGTTGCTACCAACGGGGTCCCCCAAGTCAGTTAAAGGGTCAGTTGCACGCCTACAACATTGGTTGGTGTTTGCGCCATTTATCTTGTTAATCGGCAGAAGCTAGAATTCATGCGTGAGTGGGTCAGATCCCAGTGGTTGAATGTTCTACAAGCTCGTCTTTTAACCGGAAAGTTCTGGGTTCGAACTCCACAGTATTCTTCTGACATTGATTGGTGTTCGTTGTTGTTGTTTTGGTTGGTTAACTTCAACACATCTGTCTTATTTATGTTTGTTGATTTTTGTCTGTAGGTTATCGAATTTATGGGATTTTAGACATAAACTGTCCACCAGGTTCAAGTCTCTTACAGTCTTCTTGTCAGCCCAGTCACTATCGACTAAACAAATTAGAATGAGGTCATTTACTCCATATATCTAGACTGCGTCGTTAAAACTACACGCTCAACAGATGAGGTTGTCAAAGTCAAACCTTCCTAACTATGAGAATAGTGTTGGAATCCATTGCAACCAGCATTAACAGCAATATGTGCACTTTCAGCACCAAAGTTAAGTCACAGTCACTTCTTCTATACATGCGTCACGAAAAGTATTTCAAACAATCTGCTGCAGACTTTAATCAACAGCCTACCTTCAACAACTGCATTCTGAAGGTCAAATAGGCCAACCGGATAGGATTAGTATTCAGGAACCCTCACAGCGAACCAATCGAGAACCTACTATTCAACAAATATCTAGAAGAAAATGGAGATGGATCAGACACACGTTATGAGACCGCTGAGTGACATCGCACGGTAAACCATCGCTCCAGTGGTACCCAAACGGGAAGCGAGGGTGACATTGAGGGGATGGTGGGAGGAGAACTAGGAGAAGGTGACAGCTTATGAGGAATCCTACAGCCAGCTAAAGGGGACTATAGACAACAGGACAAAGTGGAGAGGTTCTGTTGAAGCGCTAAATTCCACTCGGAATCTTTATAAATAACAATAATACTGATAGTAATAATAATAATAAAGCTAACTCTGAATTTCGAAATAAATGCATACCACTAGAATTTAGAATGATTGACATCAGATCTTAAGACGGCGGAGTTCATCAAACTCTTATGTGTATAGATTGACAATTTGTGTTGTTCTCTTGCCTCCCATATCGAAATACCATAGGCCTTCAATCGACATCATTGTTTAATGACAGTACTTTTCTTCATATTGATATTTTTAATTTTTTGAAAATTTACGTTCGTATAAAGTACACATCAATTTATTTTGAACAAAGGTGATTGATACCCAATTTGGTTTATTTTTAGCACTGCATGACTCATATTCTTCACTTATTCTGTGTACATAGTTCAACTAGAACTTGTTAAAGTTATTAAACTGAAATACTGAATATAAGGCGATATATGTCTAATATCAGACAAACTCGATGACTTGCAAGCGAAAACCATTAAACTGGCTGAAGAGGCAGCGAGAACAGGACTGCAGGTGAACACAGAGAAGACGGAGGTGATGAAGATAACCAACGAACCGCCGCAGCGAAAACAACCAGAACCAATCAACACCAACGGGAGAGCTTTAATAGACTTTGCTTCCTTCACTTATCTGGCTAGGAAACATCGTTTCACCTACAGGCCAGTAGGACGGATGAAGCTGGCCAGAATCAGGAAGGCTAGATGCACCTCCATCAACCTGAAATAAGTTTGGAAATCTTCCGCATTCAGCATAAGGAACAAGATTTGCATTTTCAACACCAACATCAAGTCAGCCAGTTCTTCTATACGAGTCAGAAACTTGACCAGTGTGTCACGAAAGTGATTTTCAACAGGTTGCAGACTTTCATCAACAGCTGCTTTCGCTGGCTTCATACTGAAGATCAGATGGCCAGAAAGAATAAACAACAAGAAACTATGGGGAACAAACCAAACAAGAGCCGACTTCTCAACAAATGTGTAGGAGAAAATGGAGATTGATCGGGTATACATTGAGGAGGTCACCGAACGACATCGCACGCCAGGCCCGCGAGTGGAACCAAGTGGGAAGAGATGAGTTTTTCATCGGTGCGAGAGTGACATGGAGGAGATCGTTCGAGGATCAGGAGATGAGAGAGTGTGGTCAATCGTGGACCCAGCTGAAGAAGACAAAAGGTAATAGAAGAAAGTGGAGATGTGTTGTTGAAGCCCTGTGTTCCACTTGTAACACAAGGGAATAATAATAACAATAACTGAATATAAATTTCATTTCGTCGTAATAATAATAACAGTGTATATGAAATCATTTGAGTAGTATGCTTTACTGTAATGCAGAATGATTACCTCTTGATTTTCAGAAACTAAGTCTAATGAACAAACAGTAATGAAGAAATCTTTCTGTTAGTTAAATACATCTTTTACACGAAATTACCGTCTAAAGTAACCGGTAAAAGCGTATATTTACAATCAACGTATGAAAATTGACTGCTTCAAGGATGTAAAAATATAAGTTTCAGTCAGGATTTATAACTAAACACTGAGGTTATAGGTCACTAGGCATTCCATGTGCATGTATATAGAATATAGCCCTTCTGCAGGTTGCACGTAAACATAAGTCTGTGATTCGGGTTCTGTGTGGAGTTGGTCTCTACCTCTGAAGAATGATTAATCTTCCTTTAAGTTTAAAAAATGCTACTGAAATTTCATACTGTTCTATGCTGTATGTAAGTCTTTATATAACACAAGCAATAGATAACAAATAATCCAGTTATATTCATTGGATATTTCACTTTATAAGTTTTTCACATGTTCGTTCACAAGAATTTGATTACATCATGAGATAACACCAGTCAGAGGACTGCTAAAAACCACAGGATGCTGGAGAGCTGTTTCGTCCCTGTTTGAGACTTTTCAACAACACTCACGCAGTATCTTTTAATTACGGAGCGAGCCCACTGACTAGTTAATCAGTGGGTCCAAGTATTGGTTTGTAGGGATTTGGTTGATTGGTTACAGGATTTCATCATGAGCTGACATTGATTAGAGAACCATTGGAAAACCTGGGAGTACTGGACAGCTGTTTCGTCCTAGTTTGGGACTCTTCACAGTACGCCCCCGGGGTTCGAACCCAGGACCTTCTGGTTACAAGGCGAGCTCGCATACCATTAAGCCACTGAGACCCGATCCAATGGTCCATGAATTCTAACTTCAGCCGATTCACGATATAGCACAACCGCTAGCCAATGGCTAGTCCCAAACTAGGACGAAACAGCTGTCCAGTACTCCCAGGTTTTCCAATGGTTCTCTAACCAATGTCAGCTCATGATGAAATCCTGTAACCAATCAGTGGGTCGTTATCTAATACCCCTTGAATGCTAACTTCTGCCATTTCTTCACATATAGTGTCTTCTTCAGCCAGGACCACTGGCAAGGATTTGTGGTAACAAACAACTTGGAGGAAAACCACATTTGGCATGACTGATAAGTAAAACTCTAGGTGACTGGATCGTGCATTCAGTCACTAGTGATTACTAGGTTAATTTTAAGGTGCTGGTGAGAAGGAATTTGAGTGGCTTACAGTTTTGCCCTTAAATCCTGGATTACGATTAAAGCTTCACAGTGAAATCATCTGGAATAGAGAATACTACCGCATCTAAAACAATGCTTTGTATTTCTAGGTGAGTTATATTGTGCGTTAAATTGTCCTAAAATGAACTTATAACGGATGCGTTAGTATACTATTGAAAACTTCACCGATATAAATTATTATTGTGGTATGAGGTTTATAAGGATTATGTCGATGCACATTAATAGGAAGAGACCGAAATTAATATCAGCAGTTTAAGTCAATGGCTGCAAAAGTAGAAGGATTTAGTTTATATTATGGACATGAAAACGTCTCATTGGACAACTTCTCATCTCACTGTTTAACCTTGAACCAATCGCCAACCAATCAGAACAATTTATTATCCTCTAGCCTATCCGAATTTTAATGTGGCTAAAGATGAATACATATGATGTGTTCTCCCAGCCTCATGAATAATTTACTAACACTTATATAAGTAATATTTTGAAAACTGACTAAATAATAAAGTAATAAAAAAATAAATCAAATGAATAAACTTACTTTTATTCCTTGAGGTGGTTTACATGTGGCATTATATTCTTTAATCAATTTATCTCTGATATAAAATGAATCTTGTTGATGATTACTATAATTAATTTGAAGGCTGCTAGCATTATATGTCAATGTGTTGTTTAAATTGAAACTTTGAACTGTTGTTTGATTGAATGGTGAATTCAAAATACATGAACGAACTGTTAATGGTTCAATAAGTGCAAGAAACAAAGTATTAGGTAGGGTACCAGCTATAATTTAAAAAGAATAAACACAATTACACAGTTACATTTGAAGTAGTGATAAAATGTCAGATTCAGTTATATTTATTAGAAAAAACAACCGAAAAAAGTAGTTTGTGCCCTAGTCTATTGGCTTTGACTTCCCATCAGCTGTGTACAACCTAGAGAGATTTAATTATGATAATATCTTTATTCAAGACAGTATTTATAAAATGCACAGAGTTTTCAGAGGAGTTTATTGCATAGTATTTTCCCTTCGTACAATATCTTCGAGTAAAATATTGATTATAAAACAAGCAATAAAGGTTAATAAAGCAGGATTTAATGAATTCATCAAATTTCGGTAGAACTCGTCAGCTGAATACTCTACATACACGGATATATACCTGTCTATATCAGCTTGCCGTTCAAAGGAGATGATGTACAGGAAGTAGTCAAACGAAGGCTCGACAAAGCCATCAAGAGAACTTATTATGCTGTAAAACTTGTTTTCCTTAACACCACTAAGCGAGTGCTTCAACAATCTGGGAAAGACCAGTCGCCAATCCGCGATACTTCAAACTGCGTATATCAATTTGAGTGTGTTTGTGGAAGCAAATACATAAGTCGTACGGAAAGGAGATTGTCTACTCGCATGATGTAGCATTTGCCAAAATGGTTGAAAACATCTGAGTGCAAAGTGCCAAAATCCTCAATAACAAAGCATCTTGTGGATTACGGACATGATATCGACGCGGTCAAGTCATTCACCATTGTCAGCAGACAAAGAAACAAGAAGATGCTTGCAATTGCAGAGGCTTGTGCAATTCGAGCTTACAAACCAGGTCTCTGTGTACAAAAGGAGATGGTCGTGACTCTGAATCTACCATGGTAATACGTTTTACTTATAATTCTACCTCTTATTATTATTATTACTATTATTATTCTCATTATTATTATTCTTGATTCATTTTAAAATATCCTTTATCAGTAGCATTATCTTAACTCACTTCAACACTATCATTATTATTGTTATTATAACTATTACTATTGACATCCCTCTGGTCGCAATTCTTGTTAAATTCTCTAATGTCTAATTGTTTATCTAAGTGATGTAATTGAAGCGTAATGCAATTTATCTTAATTTTGATATCTCATACTCTTCCCTTATTTATTTGAACATGACCTGGAAAAACATTCGCACCTGTCTTTCTGCATGACTAGTTCAATGTAGTTTGTTTACTTATCAGTCTTCCAATGTAATTTCAAAAGTATATATCCGTGTATGTAGAGTATTCAGCTGACGAGTTCTACCGAAATCTGATGAATTCATTAAATCCTGCTTTATTAACCTTTATTGCTTGTTTTAAATTCGTATCGGGAAATAAATGTTTCCAAAATATTGATTAACTGACAGTATATCCTGTGACACAATGGTCTCGGAGCTGAAGAAAATACCATTCCATTAAGATATATCTCCCTCGTCTCCTTCATGAAATCTATGATATCTAGTTGAAAGCCGACTGTATGATGTTCAGAAGTACATTTTGAGACCCAGTGACCTAAATGAAGAACAGTCATCTCATGTATTGGAACATGTTGCCACCCCCACAGTCAGGCTTTTCTTAAGTTTAGTCGGAATCAGAAGCTTGTAAAAATTTTAAATACATACAAGAGTAGATAAAACTAATAGAGGTCATATTCTGATTGATTAAAACAAACCGAACAAGAGAAAATAAATGCAATAGAGACAGAGAGATGGAAGTTCTTGGTAGCTCAAGATTTAACCTACTTGAAAATGTAACATAATGTCAGTCAAATGAATACTTCAAACTTCATAAACAGTGCTCAGAAATTACGCTTGCATAGTCTTTATTCACAAGATTCAAGTTTAAACAGAGAATAAATGCTTCGATACAATGGGGAAGGAGTTGTATAATAGAAACAAAAGGTGGATAAAATCATGAGTAACAGTGTGGTTAGTTCAACTCAAATCATAGGAACATGAGACAAACAAAGTTACATTGTACCGAAAGTGTGGAGGTTAAAGCCGAAGATTACTTAACCAACTGAAGTGAATGATGGCATCCAGCTACCAGGGCGTAAGTCAAGTTTCAGCTGTTTGATGATAGTTGCCTCGGCAACCTCAAGGAAAATTTGATAATTTTTTTGACTGGTAATTTTGAAGGATTCCATGGTGTTCAGTTCATAATTCGTATCGACGAAATGCTTGACAATGGCCCAACTGAAAGCGTTTTTTGCCATTAGATGTTGTCATTTTGGTATATGTTCGGAAAATCGAAGATATGTCTTTCTTTCTGTTCTGTCAATGTAACTACCACCTCAGACACTTTCAAATTCTCAAGTATTGATTTTGTAGAGATTTCGTTTGATTGGTTGAAAGATTTCATCATGAGCTGACATCACTTAAAGAACTTTCAGAAAATCACCAGGAAGTACTGGACTGCTATTTCATCAGCCTAGTTTCAGACTCTTCAGGAGTACGCACCCACCGTCAGGGATCGAACTAGGACCTTCTGGTTACAAGGCTAGCGAGATCGTGGACCATTCAGCCACTAAGACCAGATCCAGTGATCAGCCAGTCCATGAATTCTAACTTCTACCAATTGATGACATAGCGCGACCACTTTGCAATATCTTTTTGTATGAGTAACTGTCCTCACCTTCAACTTGCTGTACATGTAAATTTGCATACATCGTTAGATTTATCATGAGAAGGGTATCTGTCGACCTTGGATTTCACCAATTAGCATGTTGTTCGATATATATATATATATATATCCTTCATCTATAGATGTTTGTTGGTGCTCACTTCGCATGTACATAGGTAAGATGTCTAATCAGTTCCTATTTTCTTCTTTAAATTAGCTTTTATATAACATACGAGTTAAGAGGTGTAGGCTGAGGGACACTGTATTCGGTTATAGTACCGTTCATCATCAAGTATTCGATCATACCTTCTGTATTCAGGAGAAATGTTTCTGACTGCATAGTTTCAAGTTGTATTTCCTATCTGGAAGTTGGTGATCTTTCACTGCTGTCAAAAATCAGTAGAAATGAAGCAGGTTTGTAATTCTTTCTATACTTGTTCAACTAATTAAGATCTCCTCAATGTAAATAAAGTTAATTATCGCATAACTTAATTACCATTCTTCATACACTTGTAAGCATTACGTAAATTTATCATGATAAAAGTTTTTGTATTTCCCATTGAATGAAAAACAAAACAAAATTGTTGTTTTTACTGCTGTTTCGTTATTTAATGTTGCTAATAGCTTTAATCAAAGTAGTATTAAACCAGAATTTACAAAATGTCAGCTTATATACACCAACCTAATTAATAATCTTTCTTCAGAATGAGGTAATATTTTACGTTGTCAAGTTGGCAGCATATGTCTATATAATGGAATCGCTAATCACAATTGTGTTCATTCTGTCAATTCATGGGTGTAGTGGGTGGGTGCTGGAACCAGATCAAATTCTATCTTAGTCCATCATTCATTTCTGTTGAGATAATTTGGATTCCATTTGATATGAAGTGCTTCTGATATTAAATTTCTTTGTGATTTACTAAATTTTTCTGGATGATTCTAACATAGTCAAAATCAATTTTGTGGCCTGATTCGTTAACGTAGCGTGTAGACCTATGGCTGATGATTTTTCAAGTTTTTCTAGTTTAACTGAATTTCCCGGTGCTCTACGATCTTGAATTCTTCTGACTTTTATTTCTTACGATGCTTGTCCGAAATTGATCGCATCACAATCCAAGTGTTTTGATTTTTAGACACAATTAGATTGTCAATCTTTTAGAAAATTTGTTCTTTTACCTGGACAAGGTTGCTTTCCAGTTTATGTGTCTGATGTTTTTGAGAAAACTTCGACGTTGTGTTTATTCATTACTCTTCTGATATCTGGTGACGTTTCTGATCCATATGGAATGACAACTGTTAAGGTTCATGTCTTTGGAATACTTTTTCGATCATATTTAATGTCAGTGTTGATTTTAAAAAAGGAGCTCTTTGTATATTTATTTTTCATGAAAATTCCAGTAATAATAGTGGCTGCATAAGGAGTGCGATAATCGAATATCTCGTCAACACTGGTCATTCCATCTCAACAAACATTTCCTTCAAAGTGATCTACAAAGTGAAGAGCAACCTACCAAAGGCAATACGCTTTCGTCTCGTTTTTATTGCTGAAACTTTAAGCATTCAGTCGGAGAAACCAGAGTTATGTGTACCAAAAAAAGAATATCAGCGAACCCCTTCTACTATCATGGTAACAACCGTGTTGATTTCTACTGTCTTGATGTTTGTGTACTTGTCTTTTTTTTACTAACTCTTTACAACATTTGTAATTTTTATAAGTCTTACATAATTCCGTATTTACCTTTGTTTCTATATGCATCCTAATCACAATTCACTGATTAAACTATTCATCTTATTACGTAACTGTATCATCCCCCTGTTAGTTACCGTCTGACTACTAATCACGTTTTTGAAATGTCTTGACAACAATAACCCTAACTTATTCTTATTCTTATCGGACAAACCAAATGTACTCATACACAGATACCAAGTGAGTTAATTACAAAGAAATTCGGAAAATCAGTTCAAAGGACTTTTAATGCTGGCGAACTACACATCTTATTCTCTACACGACCGATGGTGGTACCTCGACTGAAAGATGAAGTACCTAGACTAACTAGCCACTTCCAATTGTATCTATCAATTCAACTGCACTTGTGGAGCGAGTTATGTTGGCCGTTGCTCTAGGAATTTGATTTTTCGTGCTCGAGAACATATCCCACTATGGCTAAGTAAAGGTGTAGTTAAAACTATTAACATCTCGATATTAGACCATCTGGTGCAAACCGGTCACAAAGCCAGCTTAGAAGAATCCTTCTCCATAATATACCGGGTGCCTAACAAACTACCAAAATCGTCGAAGCACTGCATGCTCCAAACAGCAGAGGCTATTGCAATTCGCCTCAAACAACCAGTGCTCTG